TATTCAACTGTTTTTTCAACATCACTTATTTCAGTATCACTAAATTTCGGTATCACTTATTCAAGGTTCAAAACCTGTGCTCCAACCTGTGTAAAATATCACTCATCACCCAATAATTAGCAAAAGTTCCATTTGCATTGTTCGTGTGTTACTGATTTACTAGAACTGCAGTCACTGATGAATTTGTTAAAACCATTTTAAGGAAATGTCACTAATTACGGTCACGGAATTCTATTCGACGGACTCTTCTCACTGATTTCTTGTCCACATTTCTTCTATGAAATTCTCATCTACATCGCGTTCTACCTATGTCTTAATGCTAGCGCACACACCTTCCTGGTTACTATTCGAAACAGTTTCCATTATTTCCTTCATTTTATTCTAATTTCAAATTCCCTGATAAAGTTCATTTTCAACTGAATGCGAAAAGATAACTGATATCGTTCTCATTGAAGTGTTCGTTCATTTCCTATGATATCAGCTTTCTTTTCAAAACAAACCTTCACGCAGTACAATTCACGTGGCGTTTATTTGATGAAACAAAAAATGGTTTCATTGCTGCACGTATCCATTATTTCAGTCGATTATCCACACAAAACAAGCAGATATTTATTTTCAGTTCGTTGTCGCATTCGTTACAACAAACCAAACGATCGCAGCGCTGATCACTCATCGTTGGTATCAGCAGAGATTCACTTACATGTATCCAGCTGAGCGTAAGGCGATTTTGCCGTTCATTTTGTGACAAGGATGTGGGGAAACGGAGACGATTAATCTCATCGTGACGACTCCAGTGTTGGGAGAAACAATCCTTTTTGATACGTATATTGAAAGACTACAACTTTATTTTTTTACATTATTTTATATTATTTTCTTTTTTTCTTGCACATGAAGAAATAGGTAGCGTTGTGTTGCACGAAGTGTTATAGAAAAGTTTAACCTTATGTATGTCAGGGGGTTAAACCCCCACCCCCCTCCCCCAACACCCACATAAGAACTATAAGACAGTATTGTCGTACTTCATGTAGGCGTTATTTTTGCCTTTTCACTGAACCTGTCACCATTTTCAATGCTTTCAGCTGTTCCTTTTTCTTGCCGTATGTACTGTTTGCTTCGTTCGACTCATATTCTTTAAGAGTTGATTATTCATGATATCGCCAGTCAATATTTCGTTATTATTGATGCTGCTTTCATATGTCAAATGTAGCTTTCATGTTTCAAAAATTCATTTTCTCATTGAATTCCTCAAAATGCCAACGTCTAAACTCGTATCACTTATCGGGTTACTGTTTGCATCATGACAAAATAATTTGATGAGCATGCTTTTAAAGGTATTTGCATTGTTACATTTCGCGAATGTGATCGATATTCGTTATTAAATAATGTAACAGCTTTATAATTGTTCTTAACGAATGAACAAAGAACCTTCTCAAAATGAATCGTCAACACTGGATTAATAATGCAAAATAGTATTAATAGTAAGTAAATTAAACACGCGAAATATTTTGCACACTGTCACACAAAAATACATTATAGTACATATGGGTNTGATGTATAACAATTGGAATTTGGAAAGTTGTTAGGTTGCTCGTCACATTCAACTGAACTCACTCAATCCAAGCGAACACTTTTTCGTGTAACACAGCAAAAGAGTAGTCTCGCTGGCGTAAGCGTGTTAAAGTTCACATATATTTGCAGAGCAGATTTTGAGACGTGATGAATTCTTCCTTAATGGCTCAACAAGAGTCGTCCGTTTGTGACTTCTTTCTGAACTGGCGAACTTTTAGAATTTAAAGCATAGACGCAGGCAGATTTCGTCGACTAAATATTGAAAACATTTGCAAAACTTGAAATGTTGCAAAAATGAGAACGATTCGAACGAAAATGATTGAATAAACACTCAATTATGTCGATTGTGTAATCATCAGAGACAACGCAAAACTGATAAAGAATAAAATTTGCTAACTAATAACAAACACATTAAAAAAACAATCAATTCGCAAATGCCAAGTGGCAAATTCAGTTCAGATCAGCGCCGTGGCCTACAATCCCATTTCCATTTCTTGACGGTTGCCTAATGAGTTTGACGAACCGTAGAAACTTTTGTAAGAGTAAAAACAATAATGTAAAGTAACTATAATTGACGTCCATCGAAGAGCAATAACCAAAAGCAAACATTGTACTTTTGAAGGTCTCATTGAATCGACTTAAGGTGAATTCTGGATTGATTTGAACGTTTTTATAATAACAATAGATAAATTAATTCTGCATCGAATGTGCTCAACTTTGAGATGATCGAATTTCATAGCGATAACTCGAAATTTATACTGCGAAAATGGCCGTTATTTCGTTCCGTAATCGTTCATGTGCCCAATCGTAACTGACGATACATAACCAAAATTCACTGCACCCAATTCGAAGCCTGCCATCCTTTGCATCCACACAAAGTATGACGAAAGAAGGCGAATATGAACGAGAAACTTTTTACAATTATCGTTTAATGATAAACCCATACATTGCGACAAACAATATGTTTATAACGTTTCGAAACGTTGATCAGTCACTGTGAATGAATGAAAAGATTAAGTGTTTTCGTTATGTATATAAGAGCAACTGTTACGAACGAGACGTTATGATAGTTGATGCCATACAAAAGAAACAATGAACAGAGTATCATCATAAAGAAAATCAACCGAATGAAACTCGAGACAAGGCCAATAATACACGATGAATTTCAGAAAAAAAAAACAAATAACAAAAGTACATGAAAAAAAGCAGACAAAAAAGATGTGAACGAATTCAATAAATGTATACATATTTATATATTTATTCAAAAAACAAATTGAGGAATGTGCAGAAACCTCACTCAAACCGAAATCTATGTCCAATTGTTCACATTCATGCAAATCATGATTTTGTTTCACGTCTTGATTGTCAACTGTACGGAGAAGTTGCATGAAGTGTGAACTATCAAGAACCGCACAGGGTGATCAAACGAAACTTGTGTGATTATATCTGACGTGGCAATGATAAACATCAATGCAAATTCGAAGATATTTGTGAGACATCATTCAATCTCATCAATTTCCCATAACCTCATTTCGCACAAAACTATAAACTAATAACGCGTATCATAAACGGTAACAACTGATAGATACATATGAACAACTGTTTAGCACAGAAAGCAGCAATAATTATTTTTAGAGAGCCCATCAACAACTCGCAAAACTCCGCTTTATCTTGCCAATTTGTCCTCTTCTATAAGGCTAATTGAGCCTCAAAATAAAACTTATACGCGAAATAGAAATTCCAAATATCAAGATACAATAAATTTTTTCGACGAAATGAACACCTCCACACGAATGAAAGTTATTCTTCAACAGAATTATACAGTAATGTGTGTTAATGATAATGATAAAATTAAAACTTTTTAAAACGAAACTTATGAACATTTGAAGTAATGAATTAATCTGATAAACAACAACGACAATGAACAATGAACGAGCTAGTGTCTAGGATTTTGACGAGCACAACAATGGTAATTAGAGCCTCCTCATAAGCACAACGCTTATGCAGCATCACTTTTGCACTTCGTTTCNCACACACACACACATAAACTAACGGCAATATCAAAACAGAATCAACAATTTACGATATTTTCAAGACGTGCAAAATTGACCGAGTACGTTCATGATTTTTCACAATCGTTCTAAACGGCATCTCATTCGATAACAACATCAAATTATTTATCTATGTGAACGTAAGTTATTGTAAATTTAGATGCACTTAAATAACCTGCAAACGTTAAATGAAAATGGTGTAAACGTTACGCAACGAAATCAAAACAAAACTGCAAACGTACTAATCACGATCATTTCCAAGGCGAATCGCAATGTTAACATAATCCTCGCGATCCTTAGCCACTAATTCGGGCACTCCGAGCGCTACCAGCTGACTTGATGCTACACGAGATGCAAGCGTTTCTACTGTAATTTAAGCTAATTCCAAAAGTGATGCTTGGATATGGAATACATCCGTTACTGCATTCAAATTAATAGATTAAGGTGCATCAATTCGAAAAGAAACACAAGCGGAATACTAACGTGGCATAGTGATCATGGGTGTGCCAGTCCATAAGATGTCCATACCAGTGGTGTGACCGTTACAGAGTGGTGTATCAAGGCAAACATCGGCCAACTGGCCTCGTCTCACATGCTCTTCTTTGGCAGCGACGTTCGAGAATACAATTCGACGTGAATCGATTCCGTGTTCGGCACAAAATCGCGAAACGTTCGCTTCACCGTGGAACGGAAATCGTAACAGCCATAAAATACTTTTTGGTACCTGAACAGCAAAAACCATTTCAGAACTCATTCCTCACCTCAGCAAATGTTCATAACATGATACTGATTCATTACATNAAAAAAATGCCGATGTTATTATCGATAATCAAGTTGATTAAGAAAAGATACGCACGGATAAGTTGTAAAATTGAAGAGTGAATAGAGCAAGAAATTCCTGGAAAAACAATATTAGTTAGAACAAACTACCTACCGCTTTAAGGATATCACACCACATTGTGAGAGTTGGTGGATCGATTTTGTACAACTGATTGAAATTGCAATAGACGATAGCGTCTTCAGGTAAGCCATACTGTTGTCGTGAGGTTACCAGAATCGTATGCGGTACTTCTTCACCAGTCGCTGCTTTCACATGGGTCTGAGATGAAGATTCATTGTGAGACGACTAACTGCACACAATTTGATCTTTTTAAAAACAATTCAAAAATACCAAGTCAATAATGAACGTTTCTAGTGCGAATGAAATAACGCCATAGAAACACATATTACCTGATTGAGTGTTGTAAGACCATTCTGAACTGGAACACCTTCAACATTGCCAGCGATCATACCAGAACCAATCATTTGCTTGAGTGGCTCGGTGGTTGGCACTTCAATTACCGGTAATATAACTTCGGTTTTTATCATATCACGATCTGGGCCGTGCGACACTTCTGCCTCACGCACGTATGGCTGAAACGAACGGCTCATTGAAGGAGATTCAGATGAACGCTCAAAAACAATTTCATCATCCTCTTTGTACAACTTTTCAGAGTTTATCGTGAGGATACACACAATCACATGTTCAAAGTGAAGCAGAATGCACACAATTAGATCTTTTTTTGAAACAGCTCAAAAATAACCAANTCATACAAACAACTTTGTGGCATTGAACTTTACTTTCCACCAAAACGAATTTTTTTTGATCATTTACTGTTTGAAAAAAATCACGATGAAATAATGAGCACCTTCACTTTCACGTCGGCTTTTGACAGCAGTGGTTCCAGATTGACTGAATTGACAACAGTTACTGTGTCTTTATTCATTGGACTTGTATCATTTTTCTCCTAAAAAGAGCGACGATTATACTCTTATGGCTGAAAAGTGGAGATATTTAAGCAAACCAAAATATCTTCTTCAAAAATCTGAAGGGAATGACAAAAACAAAGGGAATAATAGATCAAAAGAGAGGGACTGACCTTAAGAATGACTCGTTCAGTGAGATGCTTGAGCATTTGTGCGTGATCACCAATGAAGAATGTATGCGGCATATACGCTAGTTTCTCACTGTATGCATAAGCCAACTCAAGAGGTGATGTTATCGCATCCGTTATGATATAATCCATAAAAGGTGCACCCGACGTGCCTGGGTATCCGAGCCACATTACCTGCAAAGCGTTTATTCAATGAGATCTTTTCAGTAAAACTAACAGTTAGCTTTACTACCAACTGAAGGCTAACAACTAAAGGCTAGTTTAATAGAAAAAACCACAACAGGTTGTCTGCAAAAGATCAGCTCACCTGAATTGGCGCAGGTCTTAAAGCGAAAATTTCATTACGAGCTCCTTTCGTGTAACCATTCATGTTGATCAATATATGAATTCCATCATCGTGAATTCTATCGGCTGCTTTATCGTTATTTGTAACCTAAAAATATCCCAGGTAATTAACTGATTCCTTTTTTCTTGTTATAACGGATCGCTTTCGATTTTACTAAGCAAGACAGCTACGTTGAGACGAAAAACTTTGCAAATCGACAATATATTAAAATGTGGAATAGTTGCTAAATGCGAACACAATAAACTATCACAAATAAAAGTTGAAAAAATACAAACCTGTGATAGATCAACAAAATGTTCAGATTCGTTAACCAATTTTTGACGGAAATTCGTGCCATCATTTGCAGAGAGTGCATAACAATACACCTGAACAAAATATGAATAGAGAGAGGATCAATGAAATCTACAAAAATTTCTTATAAATAAAGTGACAAAACAAGTGAGCAACACAGCGAAAAATAATCAACCTCAACGTTTTCTCGATTATGCATTCCAGGAATCGATTGCATCAGATGACTAGTGGGATGATTTCCGAAATCAGAGGACACATAACCAATCTTAAGACGATGCCCCTTTCGGACACTTGAACGGTCCGGAAANGAGTTGTTCATAAAATTGAAATTAAATAATCCAAATCATTACAATGACATCAAGGTGAAGTTCACGCCTAAAACTCAACAGTAATACATACAGATCGACACTCACAACGCTGACAGGAAACGGAATTGCGCATCGTCACATCATTTCATTGTAAAAGTCAATTGTAATGAAGCTTAACGTAATCTCATCAAATCCAAGACAAACCAAGTGGGATTTGCTTAACAGAGAAGAAATAAGAGGAATATCGCAAAGAAATGATAGTAAACGACACCTTTTCGATACACAACTGAGCGTGCTTAGCAGCAATGGCCATGCGTTGTGCGTGTGTGAGCGGATAAAGCATCGAATGATGCGGATGTACTGATGGAACACGTTTCTTTTCCAATTGCTCAGTTACGATTGCCACTAATTTCTTCATTCGATTATCATAATCGGTCCATTCACAAATTATCTTCAACCGAAAATCTTTGTACACAATGCTTTTGAATGGGTTATTCATTGATCACTATGAATTAATTCACTGAAGATGAATTTTCTCAGTGGATTCATTCGGAAATGAAGTGAACAAATTGACTGGTTTGTCTCCACTCGTACCTGTAAGCAATGCGCCAAATTGCAGAATGCATCCGGATAATCCGGTTTCAATTTGAGTGCGGCCGTATAGCTTTGGATCGCTTCCGGTATATTACCAGAATCCTGCAATTCATTCGCATTCACATATTGTCGTTTCATTGAAAATGCATAAGAACCATGTCACATAATGTATCCNTCCGTCAAAAGGAAAGAACCAACGAACATTTTACAGTCAATAAAAAAAACAAATAATTGAGTGGTAACATGAAATTTCTAAAGCAGATGTTTCAGATTGTTCAATGAATTCAGAGGTGTATACCTTATGAATGGCAGCAAGATTGCTGTGTGCATCAGCAAAACCGGGATTGATTTGAATGGCACGTGTATAGCACTGTATAGCACCGTTAATATCACCCATTTCCTTCAGTGTATTGCCCATATTCGAGTAGGCATCCGCAAAAGTCGGTGCTATACGAATTGCTTCTTTGAAATGATTCACTGCATCTTGCAATTTGCCTTGCTGCTGTAAGATTGTCGCTAAATTGCTGTGTGCCGCAGCAAATTCTGGATAGACCTAAAATGAGAAGAAATATCCGGTGTAATGAAATATTCCAAGTTTTACAAACTGATTACGATAATCAATTGAATGACTGAATATCTGCGGCGACTGCGCATTCGGTAACCATTATTACGAATGGATGCAACCACTCCGTAAATCATATCAATCATGAAAGAATAAAAGATAAAGCAATAATAATAATAAACGATTAACAGAAAACATATTTACTTACCTCCAATGCTTTCAAATAAAGTCTTGTAGCTTCTTCAATTTTTCCTTGTTCACGTTTTATGTTCGCTAAATTATTTTGGGAATCAGCATGCGTTGGACATAACTGCAAACAAACATAACACATACTATTACCCATTTAGCAGAACGGAACTTGAGATGACGAATGAGTATTGGCATGGATGAGGAGTGATTTCTACATGATTTCACAAATAAAATGGAATGAAATTATGGAGAGAGAATGTTGATTACAACTGAAAATCAATTTTCAGAAAGAATGCATCAACNATTGAGAACGAATGCGTAAAAACATCGCACATCCATTCCATAAACAAATTTCTCAATTCTTCTCTGAGAGCACTGAAACGCTGTCGCTTTTAAAGGGACATCAAATAATGTCATGATAAAAATTTGGAAAGAAAACTTTAACATTCATTATTGAAAGCAAAATTTCGAAGAACAAGTGTACAGACTGCACGTAAAATTACGATCTGATAAAATGAGAAATGGAATCAAACCGAAAGGGCAGTATTGTAAGCTTTTTCAGCTTCTTCAACGAGTCCCTTCTCTTTGAGCGCATTCGCTAGATTACAGTACGCATCCGGGAAATTTGGTTGTAATTCAATTGCCTTACGATACATATCGATGGCTAGATCGATTAATCTAAACATTGAATAGATTTGAAAGTACGCAAACGACTGCAACTTTATAGTTGCTCAGCAAGAGGAAGCATGCTTCGGCAAAAGAAGTGATAATCACAAAACGTCAAAAATTATCTAAATGCAAATAAAAAGCGAATGAGTGAATGAAGAAGAACTAACCCTTGCTCGAAATAAACACAAGCAAGATTGCCATGTACGACCGCATGATTGCCAGCCAAATTCAGCGCACGAAGATACGCAGCAACAGCCCTTAAAATAGTCCTCAATCCCAAAAGCCCAATCAGGTGCCGTAAATTCATCCATCGGATGAAATAATCAACGACAGTGCTGTTCACTTCATCACGATCACCAATGTTATGAAAATAAAGAACTGCAACGAACCTATCAAAGATCCGCGCCTCTTTCAGAACATTTCCCAGATTGATGTAAGCATCCAAGAAATTCGGATCTAACTGAACGGCTTTCTCGAAGTGATGAATCGCCAGCCATATTTCACCTTGTGCGTTGAATACACAACCCAAATTCGACCATGCCACTGCGAATTGTGGTTGAGTTTCGATTGCTTTCAAATAGCACACCTGAATTGAACTGACATTCACCAACGATCAGTCAACAAATCGCTTCCAATCAATCAACGACTTATCAAAATAATTACACAAAACTTCTTCCATCCAATCAAGACTAATCAAAGTGGCATAAATCGAAGGCAAAATGCACTAACCTTCGGCGGTTCCAAAGCTAAAAAACTGCATTAATAAAACAAACAAAAAAAGAAAGCTGTTATTTCTTCATAGGTATATGACCTTTGTTGCACACGCAATGGGCAACACTTATGCTGATCGAGTAATGTAGTCACTGAATGTGTACGCTAACAATATAATACGAAACTATGAGAATTGAAATCAACTCAACGAAACATCGCGGAATTATCTATCGGCTTTGTGCTGAATTATGCGCATGAGCAATAGTTATATCATTACGGTAACATACTGATGAGAATAAAATTAAATAATATATATGCATCGTCAAATACAAAGCAACTAATACAATACATTCGTAAACTGGTGGAGAAAAATACAAAAAATAACATTCATTATTTGTTAGATTAGGATGATTATTGTAGCGGATTATAGTTATTATTATAATTATACAAAAATGAATTTGTAATTCAAAGATTCAAAAAACGTCAATTCCGTAATTATAAATAGCAGCAGTGTCTAAACGATACATTCGCAATCTTGTTTTCAACAAACATTAAAATAAGCACAGAAAGCTTCGACGAACTCAAAAACGAACGAAACTGCGAATATGGCCATTTGAAGCACTTCTACCTTTTATAATTACAAACAATTGATATATGAATATATAGTGAGATGTAATAAATCGCCTGCCAAAAAAGTTGATACTGAAACGAGAAATTGCAAACGACAAAAACTGACGAATAAGCGAGCGATGAATGATTGAAATGGATAGCGATATGAATAATATAAATAAACATATTTTTATAGATTATTTCATATATTGCATACCGTTTGAAGGAACGAAGAAGAACATTGTTAGTTGCTGAAGAGAACGCATCCATCCTTGAAGTGGGCTCTGCATGTTAGCACTTTATAATCAATCCCATATGCAACCATCATTATGACCTATACTGCAGTTAAATATCCACTTATTCTGTTCTGTACCAATCAACGACACACAGCATCGCATTTACGAAACAACCGCACTTCTCCTTCANTTATCCCCTCGTTACCTTTCCGATCTTTTTGCATCCATTTTTTGAATTTTATTCCACAAATTTCAATTCGCAAATAACGAAATTCCAACGGAAAGACCAAAATTCAAAACAAAAGAAAATTTCCAGGCTTTTTTTCTGCCGATGGAAAATCCCCAAATCAAACAATTTTCGTTCTTCTTGGTATTATGTGGATGAAATTGCAGAATGACTTATGCTATTTGAGTTAAAAAATAAATCTTCCACTCGTGAACATTAATTGTGAATATTCTGAGATATATATTATATGATAACAATGGAATAATCAAAAAATGTTATATAGATGACCATAAATATATCAATGTGATTGATGCATTTGATAAATATAAAAGTTCAACTTAATGCGGCGCATCATTTGAGAAAATACATTTCTAGAATTGGTATCCCTGATTTTAGGGGCAAAATTGAGACAAAGTACGTTTGTAAATGGATGGTTCGTTCGGGATGAGGAACATTGGATGGCTAATCAAGCAGCACTTCGATTTTTATCGACAATTTCTCAATTTGGATGGATAGTTGAATTTGAGTGTTGGAATTGTGAATACAACAAAATAATACATCGTTATTGTTTTGCAGGTTGCAAGGGAACTAAATAACAAACAACACGGTATGATGTATTACTGAGTGAGAGAATCGAAGAAATCGAACTGCTACACATTTTACCAAATCCATTCAAGATGAGCCAGCCCAAACTTTTGATGCATGTGTCATCATGAACACTCTCCCTTCCTCTTGCTTTAAGTCATATCAGTTACCGTTACATTGCTCGCGGTCCATAAAACTAATACTCATAGTTATAAATGATAATTAACGAAAAAAAGCCATCAAACCACCAAAAAACCCAAGCATCCCTTTATGTAATGAACACCCATGATCAGGAATACGTTCGTAAATATTCGTTTCTATCACTAACTGGTGATGATCAGCTGTTACTATGGTAAAGCGATCACATGTAAACAAAAGTGTGAGCTCTTCTTGATAAGGAGCACAATAGCGAATAAGTTTCGATGTTGTTGAGATTGTTTTGGTATCGGACAAACAATAATTCGATTGTTGTGCATTCCTGTTGAGAACTGTGGTTATATTTCGAAAAACACTTCTGAATGCCATGTTTTTAATGAAGCAATAACGGAAACGGATGCATCCAATGAGCAACATCGACTTAATCGATCGCTATCATGCTTCAAAAGAGGACGCGGGCCAGCACATCAATAACACTTCTCCTACATATTTGGAACTGAGTGCCTTCGATTCCAAGTCGACGATTCATTTTTTTTTNATAATGAAAAGCAAAATTCCAACGTCACAAAATGATGCGATATATGAACATAAATCCAATCCCAATAAATGTTTCACAAATGAGAACAACTCTTTTAAGATGATTGACCCATTTTTTGAACTCTTACAGTGTTCATCCAACAACAACTTCATAAAGTTTCAATGCATTTTAAGCTAACGACTAACGTTGTGCATTCATTTTTGCGCACTAATCGCAACTTGCCACTAAAATTCAAATGGATTATATCCTAATGGATATGATTAACGAGTAGGTCAGTGTGAGTAAAGCATTCAGTTCCAGATTTACATCGAACAGATATTAAGTCAATTCGCGCGCGCTGCACTCGGGTATATCGTAACGAAAATGTTATGGCGTTGCAGTTGATGGTTATACGATTTATTTACACGTTACTCCATCAATCAACTAAACTTCACGGCGTAACTGCTCCTCTCATTACAAACAGATTCGTGGTTGACGGCAATAAAGAATGTATCGGAAAGGTTGAACTTTCCATACACAATGAAACAAGATTTGACATTGTAACCATTACAGAGATTGAACTACTCGACTGTGAAGTTGAGAGATTGAGAGACGTATCAAGTAAATAATGAATGAGGGGCGAGAGTGGTATTGAATAATACCTTTATCATGGTTGTTCATTGGTAATATTTTCTCATGATTTGCTTCATATTATTTCCAGTCAACGGTAATATTTCTCGAATCAGTTAAGGAAAGTATAAATGGACTGCGATAATGATTTACCTCGTAAAAGAACAGCGTAAATACAAAATTGCAATGAAGCGTTCTCGCTCATAGCTAACCCTTTTCATGGAATCGATCATTTCAAAAGAGTAAATGCAATTTGGAATTAACTNCCCTTTAGAAGATGAGTGTGAAAAATCAGAGACAACCATGAAAAGATAAATATTCTAAACCACTCAATCGTTGAATTCCGCTTCAAAAACATCGCATTGCACAATACTGTAATCGCAGCCAACAACATACAATGCAGACATTTTCGTTACGATAGCAATTCAACGTACTTCATTCAATTCTGCTCCTAAGGCAACAGTAAATTTCGAGATTAATTTCATCCTTAAATTAATTTCGTCGTAAAACGTACGTAAACTGAAAGGTTCAACTGACTGCTCACAAATTTTCTGTTACCAACAAGGAATACCAACTCCAACTCTATTATATCGATAACTGCTAGTTCGATTTTCATTTCTTCGAATCAATTTCATTTGATGTGATATCGTTTCCACTTATTGTGTTTCTACTAATGTGCTCTGTTTCGTACAGGTCTTTAGCCGTTTCACTTTCGTTGCGTAATGAATACTAATAATGTTAATGTTGCACATTGGAAAATAATCTCATTTGAATGTGTGCATTGAATATCTCTCAATATTACCATTCCTTCAATCGCATCTTTATATTTCTTTAATGCTCCTCTCAATCTGGTTATGTTGCGTTCTAACGCTTACTAATTTCATTTTCTTTTAAATTCGAAAGCATCGTATGTTGACTTTCGAGGGGNGGGGAACGATTGAAGGCAACTATCATTTGTATTTTGCCAATAAATCTAGTCGAGAGTTGCAGTTAAATTCAGTAAGAGGAACTCATGGTAATCATCTCTGATGCCTAACACATCACATGACATGTCTAGTGTTCACTTCTGCATTCAGTTTGCTATGCCTGCATAACATGTGTTCCCTAATCCATATATGTGCAATTAAAATTGGTATTTTCGTGTTCATACACATGTGATTTTGGTTAAGAGAAACAACGACAAAGAATCTTCTTGTAACAAACCCAATACCTTTGCTTCTTCCAATCGACCCATCGCTTTCAACAAATTTCCAAGATCGCTTCTTACACAATATAAATCCTTCAATTAAGAGATGACTCTTTTTTACGCAATGAAAAATTCAGATACATCAACAGTCTTCTTATAAAAACCACAAGAGATTTTACCAGCGAATGAAGGCGGGAGAACAAGTTCTAAACGGGATCCGAATCAAATGAAGAATGCGATAAGGATACAATCACCCATATTAAAAGCATCCATCATTTCGACAACGCAAGCGATACGTTCACAAAAATGAATAAAACCAACCGGATTGTACTGCAATGCAGATAGATAGGCACTAACGGCCTGCTCGAGATCACCAGCCGCAACGAGTGCAGCAGCTAAGTTAATGTATCCATCAATGAAATCCGGTTTCAATCTCACCGCCATTCGATAATTCTCTAACGCTTCAGCTAACTGATTACGTTCCTTAATTGGCCGCACGTTACATATCAGTAATGTTACACATTATCTTCAATTCTCTTAGACGTACTTTATCATAACTACGACAACGCACAGTGTAATAATGAACGAATCCAAAACTGAATGGAGTATATACTGCGACTCTACCTTATAAACATTTCCTAAATTACTGTAAGCTTCTGCGCAATTCGGATTCGCTTTTATGGCCATCGATGAGAACTGCATTGATCTGAAATTATGAGAGTATTATTATTATGATTGACAGTGACATGATAGTGTCAAACGATACTCTCACAATATCTTATGATAAGAGCAATAAATGAATAAATAAAGCATACGACCGGAAGACATTAAAGAAACAAATGAATAACTGAAATAATTGCAAAATAAGAAGAATAAAACCAACTTCTCGAGATTTTTCAATTGAAAATGAATTGATGAGAGTAACAATAAAACAGAAACGTTATTTTGATCAGCACGCCATATTGCGTTACAATGCTGTTCGGCATTAACGTAATCACCGGCTTGGTATTCCCGATGCGCTAATTCAGTCAGGGCTGCAATATAAGTGCTTCAATTTAGAAACGATATCTAAAACAACGCCACGAAGTTCTATTAGTTAACTTCTGCACTTGATAACTGAGATTGATGAATAAGGCAGAAAACAAAAATGGGAAAATATACATCTAAATATTATGATATATAATAAAGAAGATAGTAACAACGATATAAAATACCAGCAATATCAACGACGTTCACCGACTGCGGCGCTAACGCGTTCGCAAGCGTTGCGGCAACGTGCTGTTGCTGAGCTTTTTGTACGGCAGCGACAACTGCCAACGGCGAATTAGTCATTACCTGTAGCTAAAATGTTCATTTTCATTTATCACTGCCTTACATGACTATGATCGAAAACGTGTCAATTACACTCAAATAGATACCTTAGCACCGGCGAGTGCAGCTGGGTCGTAAGCCGCAGGATGAATAAAGTACGATTGTGGTTTGTTCGGATCCATTCTACTTTCCCATTTAAGTGCAATTAATATACTCGAATTACACTGAAACATTCATATTCAACCATATGAGACAACGTTCACAAATCATTTCTTAAGCCGTACGCGAACGACAATAACGACAACAGTGATCGTGATAGCAAACAATGATAATATCCTCTCATATGCAAAACATGCCGTATCCAGTGATGTTTGCACACAAACAATCAGAATATCGATTTACGATTTGCCGGTTAGTTATTTGCTCTAGACAACATGTGAATGAACAAAGCAAATTTTCATGTTTTCAAGAAATGATTTCTTGACAGATTTCTACAGCAAATGAAACAAGAATTGCCAAAAATGAATACGATTTGTCAATATCTTATGATCGCTCTGCTCACCTTCAAGTTACGACTGAAGATAACATTATGAATGTGATCTATGTTCCACCAAATGACAATACCTATTGATCAGAACAGTATAGCTTGTTCGA